ATCTCCTTCACCCTCATTATTCACCTTCTGAACGATGGCCAGGTGTGAGTTTCCTATGAAGACAGAGAGAGAACATATGCTTTAGTAAGAGAAGCTTTGGAATAACTTTGTTTGACTCAAAAGTGCATTCTAAAATTCATGGAAAAAATACAGTGACTAAACAATCAGAATCAAGAATTAAAGAGAGATGCATAATAAACACTGTTTTAGATGTATTATAACAAAAATATAAACAATTTGGAAAAAGTATAAATTATTGAAATATAAATGTAAATATATATATAAAAGTACAATAAAATAAAAAATGTTTGGTAAAAATAAAAACTCAAATATTTATATGCATTCAATAGCAATAATTGGTGAAATATGTGGTTGTGTATTGATAACTAGTTTGAAGGCGTCTGCTTAGGATTATCATGTTATCAAAATACTAATAACACACTCTAACAAATTATATAATAATTATTGCTAAATATTTTATGATTTTAATATAATTTAAAATGCTATTATTTTAATAAATGCTAATATTTTAAAATAAAATACAAAAGTAATAAATTAAAAATGATGTTAAGTGAAAATAAAAGCCCAAATAATTATACACATTCAGTATCAGTCTCATCAGGGAAACAGCAATAATTATTCTGACAATAATAACTATAGTAATACTACTACTACTAATAAAATTATAAATGTTTAAAGTATTGAAAGATATTTCTATTACTTTAATGGTTTAAATTGTAAAATAATAATAATACAAATTAGTGAAAATAAACGCCCAAATATTATATGAATTCAATATCGGGCTGTCATAAACTGATACAACTAGTTTGAGGGCATCTTCTTAGGATTATCAAGTTATGAAAACACTTCTAACACAGATTAATAGTACAGATGAATAATACCAATGTAATAGCCCAAATATTACATGCATTCAACACTGGCCTAGTCAGGTCAATAGCGATAACTGCAGATAATCGGTCAAATATTGGTCGAACACCGATACACATCATTTGTAGGCATCTGCTTAGGATTGACATGCCTTTTTTGAATTCCTCCAGCATTGCATCCAGCTTGGTGTCATTAAACACAAAATGCAGAGGATGGTTGTAGAACTTGGTGATGGTGGTCATGGGAGTGCGGTCCTCCGGGTCAACCAGCGCCAGGTCTTTGACGTACAGGATTTCGATGATATTGGACCTCTCCTCTTCATACACCGGGACGCGAGTGTAGCCGCTCTGCATGATCTCGGACATGGTGTTGAAGTCCAGCACGGCCGTGGAGGGCAGCATGAAGCAGTCTTTCAGGGGGGTCAGGATGTCCTCCACGGTTTTGGTCCTGAGAGCGCCTTTACTGAACTCCACCTTGACGAACTCATTATACGGATCGTT